TTGTACATTAAGACTCATGAGGACTGATTTGTAAACATACAGTATGTTCTGTCAGATTTTGAACTCCAGGTTGAAAACAATTTCTTATAACATTGAATAAAGTCTGTATTCCTGTGATAAAGCAAGCAACCGACACGACTACGAGGGAAATCATTGTGATATTTTAAGGTATCATCAGGGAACTCTTGAATTATTCAGAAGCGAGCATTGTTTAAGAAATAATTGTCCTGAAGGAGGAGACTGAATTCTCAATACAAATTTATTTTGGTCTTTCAACAGTTCGTAGTCTTTGGTGATCTCTTTTCAGTTTTATTTTACTGTTTAATAGTTGATTGTTAAGTATTAACTATCAACAGCAAGTATTGTTTTAGCAACCGCATCAGATAATTGTTTATGATTTTCGGATAAAAAATTATTAGTTATCGCCAAACCACAGTGCGTTTCCATGATTCGATCCATCTACTTCCTACTCCTGCAGTATAATCGAATAGAAGTGATTCCGACTTTATCGAAGAGACCTTGTCCCCATACAATACATAAACTGCAGTTGGTTCAATGCAAAAAGAATATGCCGTTCTTATCTTTTTATACCCTTCCTTTAAAAATAAAGTCAGACTAGTCAGAGCAAAACAATTTGGTTGCAACCGTTGCACCCAGGTATATAATTAGTTATGGTATGGTATGAATACAACCTGGTTTCAACAGCTACAAATATATAAACCTATGCTGAGTGACCGTGATTGAAGCAGATGAGGAGTTTTTCGCTAACTAGTTCAATTTGTAGTCTGACTGATAACTGGAGTAGTTTGGGGGACGTAAAGGTTGAGCATATTTGGCATTGCTAACGATAAAATAGTTAAAATACTTAGTTTACTAGCAGATAACAATGTTACGTATAAAAAATAAACAAGAAGCTTTTTCATCTCATCAAAAACCACTTTTAAACAGATTATTTTTTCATTAAATAATTTTTTCATTATTAAGTCATGAACGAAATGTTCTTCCCACGTTATTTAACTGTTTTCACTTTAAAAATGCAATTCAGCAATAGGAAAACCCCTTTCAATTATATTGTAACCTTCATTTCTCCACATATGCATCACTTACACTATGTTTCATGAAGTATGAAAAAAATGATGCGTCGAGATGGTGAATATTATATGGGTATGTAAAAAGGTATTACTGTTTCGAATATAAATGTTGTATAATTTATAAAAACTAAAATGCAGGTGCAGCAACTGTCTAAGTGTTTATATTTTACGATATTCCAACACGGAAATGAAAATAGTCAAAACCCAAGGCTAAACATCCGTTGCCTACAGTATGTTTCAGTACGACAAAGGGAGGGATTTTTGTCCAAAGCAGGACCCTTTGGCAAAACAATTTCCAGCCTAAAAAATGGCTTTTAATGAGGTGTAGGTTTATATTTTCCCGCCTTCGTTAAATCTCCATAGTGAGCGGCAGGAAACTAAGTGTCGGAATCAATATTCATGTTGAAAGGAAGAAACATTTCCACCGCGCTGGGCCGCTTAATTACTACGCTGCTCTAATGAATTTACTTATTGAGTGTTCAAAAACAAGTTTCCCTCCCGAATATCTCATTTTATCTTTAACTGGTTTAAACATTGTTTACCACTTAATTTCTTTGCAAGACTTTACAAAAAAATACAATGCACATTGTTTTGGCGGAAAATTATAAAAAATCTTGTCTACGATAATGAGTATGTCATTATGAAAGTCGACTTGAATGTCTTTAAATAAATACCTTCAAATTGAAAAAATTTAATCAACGAAAGCTCATATTTTTTATATAAAAAGCGGAGATTCTATAGGGACGTTATGATATATTATATGGCATTATATTTACAAAAAAACCAACGCGGAAGTATTCTAGTTGACTCGTTTACTTAAGAAGCGGTGTCGGCTCTCAATAAAATAGCCCATTTACAGCAATATTTTGTGAATTTTTGTATATTATCGATTCTATTTCTAAAGAGGTTAAAAAATAAATGCACACTTAGATTCGCGTCTGATATAAAAAAAAAACTATTTTAAAAGCGTGCACATGTGTACTGTAACGAAATTTTTCGTTATCGTGGTAATCCCTGGTCGTAAAATTATAATATATGATTATATTATACTAAATTGTTGGTGAATTCAAAATTATTTGAGTATTTTTTTTATTAAATAAATTATGTCTTAAAAGTATTAACCCTGACTGATATGGTACGATACAACTATTCTCATTTCTAATTAGGCTGTATTGTGAACTCCTTGGAATCGATCTATTTCTCAATTTACCATTTTCAAACAAAATGGTTTAACTCTGGCTTATGAGGGACCTTACAACCAGATAATTATTGATTGGTAGGGACCTTAGTGTGCAGGACTACAGAAAGGAAAATTCCGCTAAAATCACAGATAAAGCAATTTTGCCATTACATTTAGCTTATATTTTTTTTATTACTATCCTTCATGTACAAGCATAGGCAATTTTTCTAAAAAGTTACCGTGAAGGTTGATTTCCTAGTAGAAACTTATGATTCCCAATGCTTGCTATGCCAACAAGTTATGTTCTCATTCGTTTATTGAACGGTTTTCATTATTTTCCTATTTCACAAGAAACTCTCAGATATGTTTAGATACAGGTTTTTGTTGTGCCTTCTCATTTAAGTAAGTTAATATTGACTAAAGTTAAAATTTTACCAACCTAACAAATCTCTGTAACTGAAAAAAATTAATAAATTTGATTTAGTACCTTAAATAACAACCCTAAATTCCTTTGGTTACAAAATTCTTAACACATTTAGCTTTGTTTAATTTACATACAAGAAATACACGAGACTAACTATAGAGTGGAGGGTTGGGCGATCTATCGGTTTAAACGAATCCAGTTACAGTTCAGAACGTTACGCAAACCAAGACCAGCCCCCCCTACACCCCCCCCCCCCACACACACATCACCAGACCATCCCTCACATCGGTAAATAAACATGAGGATAACAGCTTTACACTGACAACTGATTATTATCAATTAAACCATCCGATAATGTAAATAGCACTTTGACAACCGTAATGGCCGCGGGCAAATTTTACCGTTTCAAGTGTTCGTAAAATCATTAGCGAGGATTTTGTTTTAGTTTCATACAGTCAATTAAATCCTCTTATTTTGAGTGGATTGCATAATTTTGACGTATTGGTTTCAATGTATTTTCTTTTTGCCACAAACTCGATATTAATAATACGAAAAATCTTTCTGATTGAAAAAAAAACATTCATACTTTTGGGGAAACGGAGAACCGGCCACCTCTGTCCCTAATCCGCATATAGAAGTTTGGTTAGGTTAGGTTGGATTATATAAATGTGGCCCCTGAATTTACGACCGGTGGCTAGGACCCCTACACTCACTTTTTGCAATTTAGTTTTAATGAGTCTAAAATTTAAATTAATAAAAATGTAAGTGGAATATACGGGAACTCGGTGCACATTACTTGCATTATACAGAATAACTTAAAGCAAAATCTATAATGAAAATGTTACAGTTAAATTAAACTGATCAATATTTACTAGTACAGTGGATAAAGACTGCACAGCAAATTGAAAATTGTGTTTGAATTTAGGGCCAGCCATGTGAAATAGGAAACTTTGTTTTATAGATTTGTAAAAGAGTAGTTAATGTAAAAATGTTATCCTTCACGATCAAAGCTGAAATCCATTCCCTTCTCCAGAAATGTGTTATCCACCCCACACTTGAGAAAATCTAGATGACATCATGATTTCGAAATAACTAGATTTTATGGTGGATACATATTGCTATACTTTCGTGGCACTCCGACGTCAGCGGTGAACAGGTAATCGACTCGAGTAAAATTGTTTAATATTATCTTTCATTAAAATTCCCAAAATTACATCTTATTCATATAGGCTATCCTACAATTAGGAATAAGTTGCAAAACAGAAAAGTATTTTAGTAAAAAGTAAAAAGTCGATATACTGTATAACACAAATCGATTGTTATGATAAAGTTAAACAAAACTACCATAATTTCAGGTAGGCCTAGTGCATTTTTAACTATTCCTACCAATACATACAGGGCCCTGCTGAGGTGGCGGTTGCTAGGGGTTTAAGAAAGGTTTATCAAGAAGCAAAAATATAAATTATAAACTACAAATATATAAAAAATTATTGTTAGTAGTTAACACCAAAGAAATGAATTTTCTTAGGTAAATGGTACCAATTACCAAAAACGGACTTTTCTTAATTTTTTTAAATAATGTTATCATGACAGCAGATTAACTTTTGCTGAAGGCCTACAGGATTTTAATATTTATATTATGCATGCGACTACGTTTTATTTATAATTTTTTTTATTAATTCAAGCAAAATAATTACTTTGATGAACAATTTGCCTTTGTCGCTCCTTTGTACAATTCCAGCACGAGAACTACCTTTTCCTTAAAATATTCAAATATAGTAGGCTACCCAATTTGTATTGATATAATAACCTACTTTTATTGACATCAAAATGAATTTACAGAAGAACGAAAGGAATTAACCGCAATTATTCCATTCTAGTTTGAAAAGTTATCTTTGTGAAAATCTTTCAAAATTTTCAGCAATTAGCTTAATTTTTTTCATCAGTAAATTACGTGGCTTATCAGATAAAGTACAGTCAGGTACATGAGTGAGGTGACGAGACTGTACCGAGCATTGTTTGCGAGCAAGCCATGTGTTCATGCCTCTCATTCACCTGCGCTATCTACATGTTTAACCATAACTTTGGCGCTTGTTAATTCAGTTGGCTTCTCAAGTAGAAAACGTACATTTCAACTTCCCCTGTGATGTGTTTGAGTCGGAGGAATAACACGATTTACAGTAATCATATAAATTAACCATATACTATAAAATAAGTTAGTACAAGTTTAATTTATCATCAAAGGTTTCTACGGGTATTTTATTTGTAATAAGCCTAATTATGTGGTGAGTGAGTGGTGAAGTACCTCTTCCTCGCCAGTAGCCGTGTTGACGGAGTCCATGCTCTGGCACAGTGCCACGGAGTTGTCGGCCTGGATGTTCATGGTGTTGCGGCGCTTGAAGGCGGGGGACCCAGGGGTTGAAGGCGGAGGGGTCACTGTAACCGCTCCTCCGATTGAAGTCCTCACCCGCTTTAAACTGAGGGTATCCACGATTCGGTCTTTCTTGTCAAGTCACTGTTCACTTTTATTTTTACGCCGCGGAGATATCGGATAAACTCCCGATCGCGAACAAAAAAATCACTTTGAAAAGTATAGCGAAAAGAAGAGATAAAACACTAACGACAGAGAGCGCAATTCACACCATCGTCGTGTGCACCGACATCTGAACTAGACTAGTCGGCGGCCGCGCTACAACTGACGGCTGACGTCACGTCACGCACCGCGGACAATGGGACCGGAACAGGAAATAAAGGGGGGGAGAGGGAGGGGGGAGGAGGAGTAACAATAGCCGTCGCGGTGCGGGCAGCCACGGCGTTACGGTACACGGAGCCGAGGACAGAGGACCGAGGAACGGAGGAACGGAGGAGAGGAAGGAGTTTGTACGGTAGGAAGTCGCAGAACCGGCGACTGGGGGTGCTGAGCGTGCCGTGAGTGCGTGTGTAAGGGTTGATGTCTCGACTCTGACTGAGACCGAGACATGCGCGTCCCGACGTCACCACGCCACCCCACCTGCCACCTGGCGAGCTAATCTATAACAACACTTCTGACACTAACCGCCAGGTGGCACCACCTCATACACACCTACACTTACCTACCGATTACTTACAACTCAAAAAAATCATTGAAAATATTTAGGTATCTATGCGTACCCCTTTGAACGAAGAAGTTCAAACCAGTAATTAAAAAAGGTGTTCTTTCATAGGGTTTGAATACCAGTTTAATAAAGCGAAAGACAGCAATACGAAAATAAAGTTCTCTTTATTCAGTAATTTAACAAAAAGTGGTAATTTAAAAAAGTTTAGTCGGGGATCTCAATTAAGCCACTGGGGGGGCCGAAAGTCAGATGAGAATAAAAACTACTTAGTTTTTTTAATTCCTAATGAAATAGTATACCGGTACCAAATTTCAGCCATCTAGTTAGTCTGGAAGTTTGAGAATTAGTGATGAATAATTAAGTAGGGGCTTTGACTTTTATATGTTTAGACACATAAAGTGGTCTTAAAAAAAATATTTTACGAATATAATGAAAACCTAGTTTTATTATGAACACGACACGCCATTAATTGTGTTTTGTATTTAATAACATTCTATCAGTAGGCAAAAATTATGAATCTTGTAATGCGTCCACTTCATTATTTGTTCATTGTGGAAGTTAGCCTCTGGATTGCCAAATAATATTTAAAAAGGTTCAAATACCTGCAATTAGGCAATCCAAATGTTGTTGTAGAAAAAACTAGTTTCGGCACCTGTGTGGCACCATCTTCAGGCTGTAGCATTTATCATTATTTGTATATGTTATAAAATACATAAAACTTTGAACTTTTTTGGTAAGATCACAATAATGTTTATTGCACAAAATATGAAGAATTGAGGAACAGGTCGAATACTAGGAATTGCTATCAACAAAGCTTTTCGCTATCTAAGCCATTGTTTTATGTCACAATATGATCAAGGCGCGGACATATTCAAGCGACAGTTTACCTGAAGGTCATTTCCGCCGCCATTACTTCGTAATATAAGTTACACAACAGGATTTCCCGGCATTATATGTCTTTTATGCTAAGGCATTTTCCTAATAAAAAACTTATTGTTAAGGAAATTTGAATTGATATTAGTTTTGCGGATTATAGGACCAATGAATAAACTAGAACTAATAATTCTCAGTCGACATTATTTATAATATTACGTATTCGTTTTTTATTTCAATTCATGTTGTATTGCATTTTTAGTTATTTGCTATACTTTCGATGTTTGTTTTGAAGTACCAATCATCAATTATCAATTGTTTGAGTTTGAGATGGTGACCTCACCTTTTTGCGTGTTTGAACCCAATTATGAGTGGAGGATGAGTGTAGAATGTTGTTGTATTAAACCCATTAAATCAGAATTGATCATGATAGAATAATCTAGGTAAAAGTATTTTATTAGTATCAATCAACTCCAAGTAAACAAAAACAATTAACACATGATAATAATCTAAAATGACAATAGTCAGTAGAGCCAACCATTACATCTCCCTCTTTAAAGGTTGAGTTTCTGGGGAGGTTTTATAAGTCGTCTTGATCGGGTTGTTATGTTAGCAGAAGACATTCCAGAGGTGTTTGGAGGAACCGTTGAAAAGTTTGGCATGTCTTCATGATGATCCATCGGACCTCTTGTTAATGGTTGACTGTTACGGTTATCTGTTGAAAAGTTTGTTAAGCACATACCGTTGTCTTCCTCAGATCGATGATCCTTCTGACTACTTGTTGATGGTTGATGGTTGTGGCAATGATCCTTCTGACTATTTGTTGATGCTTGATGGTTGTGGTAACTTTCCTTTTGAATGTTTGGCATTGGTTGTAAGTGAAACCGGTTTCTTCGAACTATGGTTCCTTTGTCCGTCAGTACTTTATAAGATCGTGGTGAGTTTAACTTTTCTACGACTTTTCCTTCACGTTTCAAATCAGATATCCAAACTTTGGTTCCTGGGTTCATATCTGATAAGGGTCGAGCACCATGTCGTCGATCGTAATTTCGTTTGTAATTTTGTCTATAATGATTCTCCTTCTCTCGGAGATGACTGAAGTCTGGCTTGTTCTCCAGATGACATGGTAAGGTAGGCAAATTGTCCCGTAGTCTGCGTCCGTATAATAACTGTGCTGGACTGTAACCGTTGGCCAGTGGAGAGTTCCTGTAAGACAACAAAGCTAAATATGGATCTCCTTTGTTCTTCTTTAGAACAGCTTTTGCAATTTTTACAGCTGCTTCGGCTGAGCCATTGCTCTGATGAAACTGAGGACTGCTTGTTTTGCATAAAAAGTTGTACTCTTTGGCAAATTTTCTGAATTCTGCACTAGTGATGCCAAACTGCGTTCCACTATCTGAGTATAAAACTTCAGGAATACCGTGGCGAGAAAACGTTGACTTGCATTTCTCAATAACTTCAGATGCAGTGAGCGATTGTAGAGTTGCAATCTCAAAATATCTCGAGAACTGATCTGTTATAACAATGAACCATTTGCCATTAAGCTTGAACAAATCCATTGCTGCCTTTTCCCATGGACGTTTTGGAAACTCGGAAGGAATGAGCGGCTCATTTCGATTTTCTCTGTGTTTAATGCATGTTGGGCATGAAGCTACCATCATATTTATATCCGATGCCATTCCTGGCCACCATAAACTGAATCTAGCCTTTTCTCGACATTTGGTGGCTCCTAGATGACCGACGTGTATTCTATGAAGCATTTCTTGACAAAGACTTGATGGTACTATTATTCTAGAATTGCGTAAAAGTAAGTTGTCCATCAGTGATATCTCATCTTTAACCGAGAAGTAGGGGACTAGTTGAGATGGAAGTTGTGATTTTTCTGGCCATCCAGTATGACAGTATACTGCAATCTTTCTGAAGATGGGATCTGCTTGCTGAGCTTCCCGTAACCTGTTTATGTTTTCATCAGTCGTAGGTATGTTTTCAACCACATTTTGAACAAAAGCTTCAATTTCTTCTTCCATGTCATATGTTTCCTTGCTTGGAATGGGGCATCTTGAAAGACAGTCTGCTGGTGCAAGGTGTTTTCCAGGCGTATATGTCACTGAATATGAGTATCTCATCATGCGAAGCCTCATTCGCTGTAAGCGAGGTGTAATGTCATCCAAATTCTTAGATGATAAGATTTTTACAAGTGGCTTGTGATCCGTTTCAATTACAATCTCTCGACCAATTATATAGTCTCTGAGCTTGTCACAAGCCCATGTGATTGCCAGGGCTTCACGTTCAATATTTGAATATGATTTTTCAGCTTCTGTAAGTGACCTTGAAATGTAAGAAACAGGTCTGAATTTACCATCATGATGTTTCTGAAGAAGCAATCCGCCGAGACCATAAGAAGAAGCGTCTGCTGACACAAGAGTTGGTAAGCGAGGGTCGTAAAATGCTAGTTGGGGTGCTGAGGTCAGAAGTTTTTTTATACTTTCAAACGCATGCTGTTGTTGTTCTCCCCAAAACCATTCATTTTTCTCTTTAAGTAGATCATGGATTGGTTTTAGTATTTCTGATCGATTTGGTATGTATTTACCACAAAAATTAATCATTCCTAAGAAGCGTTGTACTTCTTTTAGATCAGATGGAGGTTTCATCTCAAGAATGGCTTTGACTCTTTCATGGCTGATTTGAACCCCTCGGGATGAAAGGTGATGTCCTAAGAATTGTACTTCTGGCTGAGAAAATACACATTTGTCTTTATTCAATGTAATTCCAGCATTTCTGAGTTTCTTTAAAACTTCATTTAAGATCAAGTCATGTTCCTCTTGACTGGAACCCCATACAAGTATGTCATCGATGTGAGCTAAACAGTTTCGTTGAGATCCTAAGGTTTCTTGAATTCGTTTCTGGAAATACTCGGGAGCACTTGTGATACCAAATGGAAGAACTTTGAATTTGTATCGGCCCCAAGGAGTTAAAAACGTGGTGAGATCTTGAGATTCTTCTGCAAGAGCTATTTGCCAAAACCCATGGTTGGCATCCAGTTTGGAAAAGACTTTGGCATCTTTTATTCGAGCCATCGTATAATCAATGCCCCAAATAGGATGAGTTTGTCGAAACACATTCTTATTAAGCATAGTAAGGTCCACACATATTCGAACCTGAGTTCTATCTTTCTTAGGCACCACGACCATAGGTGCGCACCAAGAAGTAGCGTGATCAACGGGTGTTATAACGTCCATATTCACCATATTTTCAATCTCCTTCTTTGTTTTTTCCCAAAGAGGTACTGGAATCCGTCGAGGAACTGATATCGCATAAGGTTTTGCATCATTTTTAAGTTCAATTTCGTAGCTCCCCTTCATTTTTCCTAGACCACTGAAAAGGTCAGGAAAGTTTTTGATCCAATCATTAGCAGATTTGTTGAAATTAGTTTTCGATACCTCACGAATAACCGGTATTATTTTTAGTTTTTCTATTGCTGGTTTGCCAAGTAGTGGTGTTGTGCATTTGTCAGCCACATACATTTTTTCCATACACGATTGTCCTTTGTAAGAGAGTTTTGCAGTGATTGTGCCAAGAACAGAAAGAGGCGATCCTCCAGCCGCACTTAAAGTTCTCTGGGTAGGCTGGACTGCAATTTTTTTGCTTAGCTTTATGTTGGATGGTATTACTGTCACGTCAGCTCCTGTGTCGATTTTGAACTTGACAGTGTCTTCATTAAGTCTTACATTTATTGTCCAGGGATCATTTTTTGTTTTACTAGAATACACACACCCAATGAATTTTTTCGATGGGTCTGGTTCATTAGCGATTTGGGTAAAGTCATCTGAACGATCCAAGTCTATTTCTCGAACATTGTTTTGAAGACAACAGTGTGAAAAGTGGCCATTTCGCTTGCACCTAGAACATTTGCGATCTTTTGCTGGACACAGACCTCTTCGATGAGAAGGGGTTGAACCACACCAAATACAAGAGTTGGGATAGCTCTTGACATTTGAGCTTGAATACGTTAATCTCCCTTGATCCCTATTTTCTCTTTTGGATGAATGTATTGCATTATCATATCTAGCACGTTGATTTTTATTTACAGCTTCGATTGATGGGAGGGTCAATTCTTCTTTTTGTCGTTTCAATTCTTCTGATTTGCGAAGTGAAGTTATTGCAGATTCCAATGTAACTTTATTTTCTAATTGTAGTTTATCACTCAAATCTTGATCACGCATACCAATAATAATGACCATTAATAACATTTCATCTTCAAGCGTTCCCCATTCACAGGTACGAGCAAGAGAATATAAATCTGTCACAAAATCTTCTGCAGTTTCTGTTAGTCCTTGTTTTCTACGTAGAAATTTGGCTCTTTCATAAATAATATTCTTCTTTGGATTGAAGTGCCCATCAAATTTGTCCATGACTGTTTTATACTTTGTTTCTTCGTTGGTCATTTTGAAGGATGAGAATATTTCTTCTGATTTTGGGCCCATTGCATATATGAGTGTACTCACTTGTTTTTCTTCAGATGATTGATCCAAATCACTAATTGTTCTAAATCTTTCGAAACGTGTTTTCCATGGTGACCATTCCGCTGGTTGGAAGGAAAAAGGTTCAGGCATTCTTACTTGTGTATGAGCCATGATAAACTTTTTTGATAATGGTAGATACCACAAAAGTTGTTGAAATGTTTGTATAGGTAAAAAAGTTAAATTTCAGTGTCAGTATATTAATTCCCAAACTATGCAAATACCGACTGCGCCATGTATTAAACCCATTAAATCAGAATTGATCATGATAGAATAATCTAGGTAAAAGTATTTTATTAGTATCAATCAACTCCAAGTAAACAAAAACAATTAACACATGATAATAAACTAAAATGACAATAGTCAGTAGAGCCAACCATTACAGTTGTGAGACTGTGTTGCTTTGTTATTGACTAAGATCAGCTGTTTCATCAAGCAGGATCATTATTTTACAGGGACAGATTATTAAGGAAGGTCGAGTTTACTTGCATTGGCTAAAAGCAATTTCACTAGTTACAATATTTCTATCACATTTGACTACAGATGAGTTGTAGGTACTAACGTATACAATTGTAACACTAATGATTGTTAGTCGCTCTGCTCATTGTATACCACATACATCCATATATCCTCAGTCCTCTTCTCGTCAAAAGGGTTTGTTATTTAGTATTCAGTAGCACGTGTGTGTGGGAGTCCCAACCACAGCTATCCATGGTCGAGTATTGATATAACATAGCTATCGATATAACTAACTAGTGCATGACTTGCTGTCCCCCCCCCCCACCTTGTGTCACTTATTGTATTGGTAGAGTCGGGGTTTCTGGTAACAGCCTTGTTGAAAGGTATGAGTCATGTTCAATAATGTACAAAGTTTGCGATTGACATTGACAATAGGTGATATTTGACTTTGTATGGACATAATTACTTGGCAAAACATGGTCATAATGTTCAAGAATATTATAGAAAACTATTATGTTTACACTGTAATATATCAGACATTCCATCCCCATGTTAAATTTGTAGCCACTATTTTACCAAAATCGTTTTAGTTGATGTGAGCCACCGACAGATTGTGCTGATCTAAATTACTGATTTCTGTCGAATACACAATCTTTTTTACCAATTCCAACTAATGGAATGACTTATTGTGAGCTATAGCAACTGTTATGACCCATAAACTTGGCCAGCAACAAAAAATTAGGTAGCAAATAGAGTTTTAGTCGCTACGTTACGTTTTCATGCTGCTGTAATGATTTCTATATTTAATTGCCATCCATATTGCCACATGGTGTGTAATTTAACATTTGTAAGGATACCGATAACCCTCATGATATCTAATTAAATTAGTTTAAAAATATATTACTTTGCACCTGTATTATAAACAAGATATACACACTTTACAAGGGAAGTTTTCTTCTGCACTAATATTGAAGTAGGCGAGTCACGAAGGTCTTAAAATAAAAAGACCGTAATTGTTTTTAGCTAAGAGCATTTTACAAGTCGAAGATAATCGAAGAAGTTGAAGAAGCTAACTGCTTTACTTAAGGTAATTTGAGTTCCCTTTCGTACTCGGGTCTTTGTTTTAATATAGATTTTTAAAGTATGTATAACGCTTTTCACTTCATTCTACTGAATCAATAAAGATAGTTTAATTGTAGTGATTATTAATATAAGATTGAAAACTATTTTGGGTGCAAATTAAACAATAAAAAAGACTATTTCTCCAATATATTTCTTTTTTATTAGACCTGTCAGTAATGGGTTAATTAGTTAACATTAACTTAACATTAACTCAATCGATTTCATTGTCTTTGGTTGAAAATGTTCATTTTGTAACTTATTAGTAGCATAAATCAAAAATATTATTTTTGATTTATTCTGACTAGTCGTTTTTGGTGACCGTATTTTTATTATATACCTAAGAACATGGAAGTTTTTTTTAAATAAATTTAACCAAAATCTGATTGTAAATTATTCAGCCCCGTACAGTAAGTCAGAACCCATGCTGTAAAGGTGAATGGCTGATGTTGGATCAATAAACTCCGTGGTAAAGGCCATCGCAAAGGTCCCTTGGTCAACAAGCAGGTCTGCATCGCGATTAATTAAAAAAACACAGTTTTGGTTTAGAGATAGCTGTGCCGTGTGAGACATGACGTGCTGATGGATACCTAGAGACTAAAGGGGAGGACAGTCATGAGATATCGCGACTAAAGGTCGATGGTCAACAAGTTGTGTTTAATTAAAATACCCCCGCCGTAGCAAACCTGCAAAGCGAATTTATATTTACCTTATTGGATTTTTTTTATATTTTCTTAAACATGTCAAATTTATTTCCCACTTAAATAGCATAAGGCTTAACTGACTGAGGTTTCATGCTACAAAGAGGAGCTTTTGGTTAACCGTCAATAGCTTAGTATTAGATAAATAAATTTTCCTATTTTGATAAAAATATATAAAAAATCAGGCAGACTACAGTATTTTACCTATTCTCCGTTAGAATAACGTAGGAATGTCATATGTACAGTTTTTTTTTTTTATTTTCTCCAACACCATTAAGGGTACAACATCGGCTTATTACCATATACACCAAAACAACTGTATCGCCATTGGCATACATAAACTATAAGATTTAGAGGACAAATTTGAATAGAGAACTTAAGCATAAAAATAAGAATTAAATTTTTTTATCTTTTTAAAAGTGGAAATCACATTTGGCGTGGTGGAAAAGTTTATGTTCTTTATTTTATGAGATACCAATGGCGGCACAGTTAAGGTTAAGGTTGTTAAGGTTCTTTACCCTGTATCGGAAATTCACTGAAATCGGATCAAAACTGTTCGACTTATCGTTTTCAAGGACTAAATAAATAGCTTTATATACATATAAAAAAATGTATAACAAATTTTGTTTTTGGTCTTTGGAGACATCAAAATGGAAAAAGTAAATCGATCACGGGTCTAGGTCTTGAAATAGTTTAACTTCCCTGTAGGGAAAATTCTCTACACATTTTTCATTCGGATAGCTATGCTTTATACTATACGTGCTAGAAGTAGATACCTAAAGACTAAGAGGGGCGGAGTTCAGTCATTAAATGCCGTGACTAAAGGTCAATTGGAAGGTCTGAGCCGTGGGCGCCTGCAACATCTCATCTCTGCTGGTTACGCAACGTTTCTGCATGAATGGGTGTAGTGGAGGGGGGGGATACTACGATCACGTGACCAAAGATCAGCTGATACAGAGCCTGCTCCCAGCATCAGCTGACCAAGTTTCTCCAGTCGCCCAGCCATTGTTGTATCATGTGCGGCTGTTTTCACTTCACACGAGCCACAACAATGGCTTGGGATGTACTCTCGCTACACGACATGAGTGTATCGTCAGCTTCTGCTATTATTCTACACTTGGAGTATTTTTTTTTTTTATCTAAATTTAGTCATTTATTGTATGAAAACAGTTAATCATCGTTGAATGTATACATTTAATTTTGTAAGGCGGTTCCTTGCGTCAAAATTGTGGATGTCTGGTAAGTCGTAGATTGACGTGAGAGGGTTCAAAGGTCTGTGTCTGTATTCCATGACGGCGGGAAAAGTGGTGGAGTTTTCATAATTTGAACACATATTATTACGTTAAATCACAAATAAAATAATATTACTTAAAATTATCTTCATAATAAAAAAATTGCCTACTATACAACTAGACACTTAAACAGGAACCGAAATTTGCTATGGATACAACAAAAAATAGTGGTTTAAAACGTGGGGCTTTACGATGTTAGGTTTAGCCACAGTTTTATCATAAAATCCATATGCACAATTAATTTATGCACTTTAGATGACATGCTTGTGCTAGAAAGATATAATAATCACAACGTCGATAGCTCAAATTTAATTTCTGTATATACAACCGACCACAGATAAAATCACCGGTGACTTAATTTAAACCGAAGGAGAACCTCCAGCACTTTGATGTATAATTGTTTACCACGGACAAGATAATCCAAATTCAAGCTTAAACTGGCCTATAAGCTTATCACTACTTTCAAAACAGACTGCCTTTTTGTACCAACATCAATAAGTCACAAGGCCAAACCTTCGACATAGATTGGATATACTTAAGTAAACCAGTATTTTACTCAAATATAGCACCCTGTAACTAAAATTATGTAACGGGGTTTCAGTAAATACTGCACCTAATTTGTTTAAATGGACAACCCAAAGTACTTCCCACTATTAATTTATCATGGACGAAGTTGTAAATTACGTGTTAATTGACAAACAATGATTTTCCCTAAAAGGTCATAATAATTTTCCATAAATTCCATACAACCTACCCAAAAAAAACCTAAAATATTTTTTTAAAGTTGGAATTTTCGTACTTTACCGGGGTTTTGAATACATTATTAAAGAGTTACAAAATACTGGAAAGATCAACGCCACACTCATGATCAATTTTCAAATTGTAACCTCTGTAACCAGACAATCTTTAGCCTCAACAACTGGTACAAATTACAAATGACAACTAAAACATGACACAAAACATGACATATGACAAATGAAAACTAGCCATGCTATACAGATCCGTACAAAAATAAGTAAACTATCTGGTAGGAAGCACCAATTAATCTCTAGGTGCCCAAGGGACGCCAAAAGATTTATCTAGTAAGTCATGGAACAGTACAATGGATACTATGTTGGACGTGTGCCACAAATCTTATAAAACCCGACCGATTTTCATGATTGAGGTCTTAAATTAAAGGCATAAACGCACAGATTTCACATCAAGCATCGGCCATCGAAGTAAAGGCATCGGCATATATTTACCTACTGTATTATTTGACCGAAAAACATAATTTGATTAATTTTCGAATTCTTACTTCAATTTAAGATGTATTTCACCTGTTATAATTATACAATCCTATATTATATTTTGGTCTAAGAACCTTCAGTGAAATACCAGCTTTCATTTAAGC